TCTGTGTGAAAGCGTGTGAAAATTGTGTGGTATACACGCTGCGTGCTCTCATTCTGATTGTAACCAGCAAGAAGTTGCTGGGTGGCGAACGAGCCTAAAAGAATAATCCATTCCTTCTTAGATAACGAAAAAATTAAATATTATATTGACTCATCGGTGAGACTGAGCCCTAGGAGACATCTTGCGCGGACTGCCACCACACCTGACACCGGTGACAAGTGAAAATCAGTTCACCTATAGAAAGCTTTGTGATAAGGTCGAAAGGTGTGTTCTCCGTCTCAGTGAGACTAAGTTGTTTCATTAAATCTGAGGTTTGTCCATATAAAATGTCTATAAGGTGCAGAGAGTGTCTTTTCCTGAAAAATAAAGGGTGTCTTTTCCTGTAAATTAAAGGGCGTGGTAGAGAGGGGCTGGCAAAGCCATTCGTTGTTGTCAAATGAGTTGTGCCCCGCCCCTTGCCACGCCCCTGCTCCCCTATAAATTAGGACTTCAAAAGAAGTAGTCATCAGGGATCAAAGGAGACACAGGTCTGCACGAAAAATATGCAACGGGTCTTACTAAAGAAATCCTTCTCATATTACATATACGAAATATTTAAAACTCAGAGCCGGTGTGACAATTAAGAACGGTAGTCCGCTAGGAACCGTAGTCCGCTTCCCAATTACTTTGTACAGGTGACATTTGTCGCTCCTGGTAAACATTTATTGCAACATATATCACATTATTACAAAAATTTAATATCAATATTTAAATATTATTATTATTATTAATAATAATCTTAAAATGTTAATGTAAATAAAATATTTTTCTATGAAAATATTTCTTCCCAGGACCAAAAGCGAGATTTATTTTTGAACCATCATTCAAAAACGGATGAGGAGGAGTAAAGATGCGGGGGCGTATTGATACCAATATTGTATATACATGTACATGTATTTCTTCTGTAGCTGAAGGGAAGAAACGATGCGGGAACGTAAATAACCCGTACCTAAAGATAACTCCACGATTTCCAGTATTTGGAAAAGCAAAAGAAAATAGATTTTCAATTTTTATACCTACTGGGTCCTCAAAAGGCAGATAATCTAAGAAAATAAATGGGACAGTATAGAAAAAATATTGATATGAATAGAAAAGAACTTTTGTCGTAGCCTAGGCCTACTAAGATTCTTTTATTTAAAAAAATTCTACATGTATTTTTAATCAACATTTGTAAGAACTTCGTTTGTAGTGTGTGAATGGTGTGTGGAAGGTGTATTTGTCTCTTATTGTGTTGTAAATGTCCTGTATTAATTTTCGTGAATAATAAAAAAAAATAATAATAAAAAATAACTCCACGATTTCCGGCTCTGATTGCAATCTAACTTGTGCTTTATTGTTTTAAATTTTAGCTAACGAAAGGAACTAGAAATGTTGGATCCTAGTTTAAACAGAGGTAATGACAGATCACGTGTGGTTATTTTTAAAGAAAGCGGAAAACATAATAATAATAATAATAATAAAAATAATAATAATCATAATAATAATAATATTTTCTAATCGCACTTATATAGCTAAAATATCGCACGAAATGTTGCCTCATCAATATAAGATCTTAAAAAAAAAAAAAAAAAACTCACAAAATATCAAGGCACATCTCTTTACTGTATTGTTTTCAAGCCGGTTCAACATTGCGTAACAGGATTACTACATCCCCTGATCTAGTTTTAACTGGTATTTTAATCACTTTTATTAAATGCGAGTTGGAAGCCTGTCGAGCTTGACGCCAAAGGCAAACAAACGGAGTTACAAACAGGTGAGCTATTGAACCCAGACAATACGAACAATACGATCGCAGTAATTGTAGGCTATTGTCAGTATTTTGGAAGGCCACCAGGCCACGAATATGTTCGTGTACGCAATGAGCTTAAGTTGCTGCTGTAGGCTGACTCAGGTGTTTACGGTGTACATGACTCCCAGGGGAATAGTAAGATGATCAAGTTGATATTGATACCAGTAATACTGTAATATTATGGAGTGTGTTATCCGGCCCGCGATACCAGGTCTAAGTCTTATGTATGTGAACAATAGTATCCCCGGTGTGACAGGATCAAATGTTATATTTATAACCACCTTTAAAAGATGAATGAAAAAAAAAAGAATAAAAGAAATAAATTAAATTGATAAAGTTAAAATTAGGTGAAATTAAATGAAATACAGAAAAAAAATACACGTTCATCTTTGAACACGTTCAAGATGCTTATATAAATAAATAAATAAAAATAAATAAATAAATGAATAAATGAACATACTCAAAGACGGCATGGATCCGGACCTGTATGAGAGTTAAATTAAATACATGTACATGTAATTACGCAGTTCTTGAGTAGGCCAAGCATGGAAGTTAACCCCTACACACACACACATACATACATGTACACACACACACACACGCACACACACACACACGCGCACACACACACGCACTCACACACACTCACACACTCACACACACATGGGCAGAGATTTCACCCCTTTAAAAGTAAATTCCTGGTGATTTTATTGTTTTTGTTAATTGTTTTTGTGTTGTATTCTGTCATGCTGTGCTATATTGTATATTATTATGGTGGGGCCGAAATATTGAATATTTTTTTTAAAAAATTCATATTATGCTTGGATGTTTGCCGTCAATTGAACGGGGAATATGAAATTGAATAATTGAATTATTTTCATAGGCCCAACTTTGAAGAGCTGACTTTTAGAAATGTATGCATTTGTGGTTGCTCAAATCAAATGAGTTTTTCGGCTAACTCGACTCTGGGGGGAAATCTCTGCTTTCTTTCCCCGCCTTTTTGTGTTTATCATTGTTAAGAAATGTTCGCTTTTTGTCTGATCTTCCTTTGTTGGAAATCTCATGTTGGTGTACTATCGTGATTAATCCTTGGATTAATCTTATTACGAAGTTTATGTACCGGTAAATGTGACACTTTTTCTATATTTTCATCTTTTTTTTATTTACATCAAGAATACACTATACCTTTGGCTGCTGTTTTACTATTTATGGCAACAATAGAATTTAGGAGAGACCGCGGGGCTAGTTGGACCCCGGGGTAAGTTGCCCCCCCCCCCATCAAGTTACTTTAAGATGCTACATTATTTCATTTGGATTCACTGCCGACGCTTTCTTAGCACTATTGGATACGGTCACTTTACAAAATGTTGTGATCAATTCTTTTACCCCATAGTTACTTTGTCATAAATTAATGGGGGGCCAACTTACCCCCGGGGTCTAACTAGCCCCGGTCTCCCCTAAGTCAGATTCATTCACACTGTAATGATACCCCTGTCTTCGCCTACGGACATCCCAGGGTCATCCAAACGACAAAGGAGCAGGTAAGTTGATAGTGACGTAATCAACTCAATAATAACCGGTTAGTGGTAAAACATTATCATGGTACGCGGGGAAATCTCTTTGTATCATTGATATAGAAGCTTGAAATGAATCCAACATAATTAGGACTTGTCGGTCGTTGGCTTTCATACCGGACTTTATATGACATAACCATGCATCGACACGTACACTGTACCATGTAGCCCGACGTGAGGAATCATTGTTTGTGTTTAAATTCAAATTATAGTATTCAGCTGAAATGTTAAGTAGTCTTATACGTATATGCAGCTTTAACAATGACAAACCTTTGGATGATTTTTTCCATGAAAATTCCATCAAATATTTTCTCTAATCACCAAAATGCACCACATACACAAAATATATAAACTTAAATAAATATATAAATTTAATAAAAAATATAGCGTGCATGACATGTCTTAACCAGAAACTGGTAGAGATTTACCTGGTAAACTTTTACTCGTCTGTTCGCTGTACAACTTAAGTTTGGGATTTTTGCATTTATGCACGTTTTGATTTAACAGATACAGTTATTTATTAGATACAGATATTTATTATCGTAAACCATGTGCAGAATGGACATGTTGGTACAGAGAAATGTAACAAAATAATAACAAGTAAACAAGTAGTCAAACATAGTTTATGCTAGAAAGTCCATTCTTTCTTAAATTACCTAAATGAATTTTCCTACACTTTTTCATTCCTCGATCGAAAAACGCGCATATAGAAAAACAAGGTCTGGTGTCACAAAAGCATGAGAAAATAAAAATCAATAAAATTCACAAATAAATGGATAAAGTAAAAAGAAATGCATAAAAACTTACGACCCATGTTTGTTTCTAATGTAGGGACTTTTTATAATATAGAAAGGCGCGGTAAAAATGATTACGACTCAGTAAGTTCATAAGCACGGAGCACCTTGGGTTTATAAAGAGAGTAGTATGTTTTTTTATTTCAAAGTTAATAACAATATCGTCGTTAAGTGTTGTTATGCAGCCAGTCTTGTGGATTCTCTTCGACGTTAAAAGCCAGAAACAAGTGAAACTCTTTCATTTTTAGGAAGGTACCAGGACTAGGACCAGCGTTGCAACAATTGCAATATCGATTTATATACAGCTCTGCGTATCATGAGAAAGGAGAAACTATTGGATTTTTAGGACGGCGGTCTCTATCAGTTTTTTTTATATCAAAATAGTTGCTCGCGGTCCTTTAACAATTTATAAGTACATGTTCATGACTATTCCTTCAGATGCACGTAAAAGAAATAAGATAATAAAATGATCGGCCTCCCTCTCTGTTGAAAAGTTCTTAAAAGTGCAGCAGCTGGAAGGCAGCCATTTTGTTTTCAAAAACACGCACATGACGTGCAATGATGTGGAAATCATAGAAGTCACGGCGCACAGAACAAAGGCGCGGAAATCTCCGGCCATTCTCAATATTACCGCTGATTATACCCTAAGATGGAACCCAACTCTACGGTCGCAACGCGTTAATGATCACAAAGAATTTAATTCAGACGCAGTCACTTACTTCCCCAACCTTGTTTAAGTATGAAAACCACACCCCCGTGTACTGGGCGTGACTCAGGGAGATATAAAAGCTGCATTCGTTTATAGCAGCTCATATCAGGCTGAACGACAAACGGGCACGATTATTATACTGCAGAAGTGACGACAAGCGATCTGAATTCAGCTATGAAGAATCCTTCCCTTCTTTTTCTCTTCGTTTGTGGACTTGTTATAATAGGAATATTTGGAGAGGAAGGTAAGTAACCGGTATGTGCATTGTGTGTGTATTTGTGTGAATTTGTATGTTTGAGAGTGCCCAACATGAGTCTGATTATGACTGTGTCTGCGTCTTTTTAGGTGTGTGTACATATATATATGTGTGTACAGGCATATATGTACTTGTATGTGTTTGGGTTTTTCAGTCTCTCTCTGGGCCTTTTCTCTCTCTCTCTCTCTCTCTCACCTTCTCTTTCTTATTCACTCTTTCTCTCTCTCTCTCTCTCCTTCACTCACTCACTCACTCACTCACTCACACTCTCTCTCTCTCTCTCTCTCTCTCTCTCCATGTGTGTCTGTTGCCTTTGTATTAACAGAAAAAGAGAGATTCACAAAGAACATTTTAGAGGTAATTTGAAAGGAATTTGAACTTAATTATCAGTGCTTTTTAGGCCCTAACGAAAAAGTCCTATAGGATCCCATAAGATCCTATAGGATCCTATAGGAAATTGGGCCAATTTCTTATAGAATCCTATAGGATCTTATAGGATCCTATAGGACTTTTTCGTATGGGGGTGTATAATTCCAAACTAAAATGTATCTTTTTACATCAGTTAATTATTCTGTTTGTAAATCATAGTGCAGTTATGACAGACATCGCTGTTTTCATACGTATATCTTACCTCGAAGAAACTTTTGCTTTTAACAATGGACAAATTATTTCAAATAATTTGTCCATTTTATTACACTGTCTTTTACGTATAACTATGATAAAAAAGAAGATTTAATTGAATCTGAGATAATGCATAATGAAATGCATATGACAATTGAAATGTTTGAAGCGTATAAGAACATTAAATAGTTATATTTTTGTTCGGTTTCAGCCGATGAGAAGAAAAGGGGATATCGAGGTAAGCCGCTCACATACACGTAAAAAAAAAAACGCAATCAAGCACACATACACTTTGACATTGAAGTGGGCTATTTTAGGCATACAAGTGATATAATATAATATAATATAATATAATACTTACTGTCCTCTTTACATTTTTGAAGAAAGAAGTTTGAATCTGTAAATATTTACAGTTACAAAACATATATTGTAGTAATAAAAATCTCGATCCTGTGAAAATGCAAGGCTTTGTAAATGTTTGTAGCAGATGGGCCACGTAAAAGTCATCTTCTTGTTCGGTTTCAGGGTATAAAACTCAACGGGTGGACAACAAACTGAACCGAAGAGGTTACGGTAGGAACACACGCACGCAAACATTCTGGCACATACACGCGTATGACCACACGTCAGCGCACACATGCATTCTACCTGTAGTAGACTCTTTGTCAGGATCGTGGCAGAATTAATTTTGCCTTAATGTTATGGCTAATAAGAACATATTTTCACTTATAAGAACATATTTTCACTGCATTTAAAATTAATTCTGGGGCGATAACTATTAACGTTACCGTGCACAGCAGAAAGAAAGCAAATATAAACTAGAAAGCGCTCCGAGAGCGCAGACCTCCGAGACCGCAGACCTACTTACAATAGAATCAGAAAAAAAGCTCTGCCTGATTGTTATGGTTTTTACTAAACCAATCGCCATCACAAACACACACACGCTCTCTTGTGCTATAAAGGGATATGGAACGCATGAAACGAAGATGTATGTAACTTTTTACGAAAAAAATTACAGAGAGAATAAATCCCGAAACTGAAACTGTTAGACTTAATGTTTGAAGCAGACGACTATACTAAATAATCACCCATTTTTCAGGGTATGGAGCTCAGCGGGTGGACGACAGTGACGTAAATGACGAGGAGAAGCGAAGAGGTTACGGTAAGAACACACGCACACAAACATGAACACGTGCTGGTACTTACACATGCTGGCACATATACACACGGCAGTGCACACATACATTTTACTGTAGTAGGAACATAGACGCTCTCATACCTGTAGACACATAATAAATAACCAATCGCCATCATAAACACACTCTCTTATGTTATAAAGGGATATGAAAAGCTTGAAACGAAAATGTATGGAACTTTTTTCGAAAAAAAAAAAACAAACAAAAAACAAACAAACAAACAAACAAAAAAAAAAAAAAAAAAAAAAACAATAAGTCCCGAAACTGTGAAAATGTAACACTGACATAATGTTTGTAGCAGACGAGAATACTAAATAGTCACCCATTTTCCAGGGTATGGAGCTCAGCGGGTGGCCGACAGTGACGTAGATGACGAGGTGAACCGCAGAGGCTACGGTAGACGTTATGGAGGTTACGGTAAGAACACACGCACACAAACATGAACACGTGCCGGCACATACACACGCATGTGACCACACGACATCGCACATATGCATATTACCTGTAGCAGAATCTTTGCCAGGGTCGTGGCAGAATTAATTTTGCCTGAATGTTCTGGCTTATATTGTGATAAGAGTAGTTTTTCGCTGCATTAACAATTAATTTTTGGGCGATAAGTAAGAGAATACTAAATAGTCACCCATTTTTCAGGGTATGGAGCTCAGCGGGTGGACGACAGTGACGTAGATGACGAAGTGAAGCGAAGAGGTTACGGTAAGAACACACGCACACAAACATGAACACGTGCAGGTTCATTCACACGCGTATGGTCACACTACCCTGCACGAATGCATTCTACCTGAAGTAGTATCTTTGTCAAGCTTAGGGCAGAAATAATGGTTTCTGAAATGGTAAGAATAGGTTTGCACTGCATTTAAAATAAATTCTAGGGCGATAATGAATACTAAAAATACCGTATGATGCAGATAGATAGCAAACATAAAAATATATAATTAACCCCGAAACAGAGATAATGCAATGCTGTCTTAATATTTGTAGCAGACGAGAATATTAAATAGTCACCCACTTTTCAGGGTATGGAGCTCAAAGACGGGTGGCCGACAGTGACTTAGATGACGAGGTGAAGCGAAGAGGTTACGGTAAGAACACACGTACACGAACATGAACACGCACTGGTACTTACACACTCTGGTACATATACACACGGCAGTGCACACATGCATTTTACTGTAGTAGGAACATAGACGCTCTCATACCTGTACACACATAATAAATAACCAATCGCCATCATAAACACACTCTCTTATGTTATAAAGGGATATGAAAAGCTTGAAACGAAAATGTATGTAACTTTTTTCGAAAAAAAAAAAAAACAAACAAACAAACAAACAAACAAACAAAAAAAAACAATAAGTCCCGAAATGTAACACTGTCATAATGTTTGTAGCAGACGAGAATACTAAATAGTCACCCATTTTCCAGGGTATGGAGCTCAGCGGGTGGCCGACAGTGACGAAGATGACGAGGTGAACCGCAGAGGCTACGGTAGACGTTATGGAGGTTACGGTAAGAACACACGCACACAAACATGAACACGTGCAGGCATATACACACGCATGTGACCACACGACATCGCACATATGTATATTACCTGTAGTAGAATCTTTGCCAGGATCATGGCAGAATTAATTTTGCCTGAATGTTATGGCCTATTCTGTGATAAGAATAGTTTTTCGCTGCATTAAAAATCAATTTTGGGGCGATAAAAAACTATTAACGTTACCGTGCACAGCTGAAAGAAAGCAAATATAAAATAGTATTCTTGTTCTTTTTCACGACCACGATGTAAATGTGATTTAATATATACCTTTACATCGATACATGCACACATGTATTTTACTGTAATAGGAACATAGACGCTGTCATACCTGTAGACACATAATAAATAACCAATCGCCATCACAAACACACACACACTCTTTTATGTTATAAAGGGATATGGAAAGCATGAAACGAAGATGTATGTAACTTTTTTCCAAAAAAAAAAAAAAAATTACAGAGAGAATAAATCCCGAAACTGAAACAGTGAGACTGTCTTAATGTTTGAAGCAGACGAGAATACTAAATAGTCACCCATTTTTCAGGGTATGTAGCTCAGCGGGTGGACGACAGTGACGTAAATGACGAGGTGAAGCGAAGAGGTTACGGTAAGAACACACGCACACAAACAGGAACACGTGCAGGTTCATGCACACGCGTATGGTCACACTACCCTGCACGAATACATTCTACCTGAAGTAGTATCTTTGTCAAGCTTAGGGCAGAAATAATGGTTTCTGAAATGGTAAGAATAGGTTTACACTGCATTTAAAATAAATTCTGGGGCGATAAAAAACATTACGCTGCAGAAAGAAACCCACGGTTTTTATTAGTCAAAATATATCTATTTGTTTTTATACCTTAAGACCGATAATGGAAAACTATAGAAACTTTAGAAACAAACAAAAGGCTAAATATAATAACCTATATCTGTTTCAGGTTACTACCGAGCTAAACTTAACGACGTTGACGACGAACAGAAACGGCGCTTCAAAGCTTCCAGAGGTAACATGCTCTCATATATACACACCCATAATCAATAACCAATCGCCTTCACAAACACATGCACTCTATAAAGGGATATGAAAGGCGTAAATATGTATGTAACATTTTCCCAAAAAATTACAAATAGAATTGACCCCGAACCTGTGATAATGCAACGCTGTCTTAATATTTGTAGCAGACGAGAATATTAAATAGTCACCCACTTTTCAGGATATGGAGCTCAACGGGTGGACGACAGTGACGTGGATGACGAAGTGAAGCGAAGAGGTTACGGTAGAGTTCACGGTAAGCACACACGCACGTAAACATAAACACGTGCTGGTACATATACACACGGCATTGTACACATGCATTTTACTGTAATAGGAACATAGACGCTCTCATACCTGTACACACATAAGATAAGATAAGATAAGAGTTTATTCAGCCATTAATATATAAATATTAAAATAATAAATAACCAATCGCCATCACAAACACACACAC